AGTGACGCCACCGGATGGCATTAACGGCTCGGTTTTTACGCCATTGGCATTTGCCTTTGTCCAAAAAACGCGTGTAAGAGTTAAGAGTCAGCAAGTTTGGTGCGGACGGATATTTGCTTTCTCTGTTCAAGAGTTAATTAGACTCCCCGAAATAATTATGCAGAACTCATTAAATCGTATTTCGGAGAGTCTTGTATTCATGTTGCTTCTAGTCCATTAGGTGTATTATTTGGCATACTGCTGAGTATCTACTCTATTTTAATTCCACCATTGTTTCTTTATTATTTTAGTTCCCTGGTAGATTACCGTACATGATGTAGATCTTTAAAAGCATTAACATGACTCACTGTAAAAGTGTGGCACTGGTGCAGAAGATAGAGAGAGATCCCATCGCCAATTTGAAAAAAGCGCCTCCGGTCTTAAACCCTATGTAGCTTTTATTTTTGCATGTTACGCAACTCACGTACAGCTCTATAAAAATAGACATTGCTACCCTGAATGGAGGGAGGAATCTTTAGGCCTTAAAAAACTTGAAAATATGTTTTGTTTATCATTTGTGTATTATTTTGTTTGTTCCACCATTATCATCCCCCTGCGAAGAGCCTTGCATGTTGTCAGGCTAAGGTGCCTCAGACAAAAAACACACACACACACACACACACACACACACACGCCACAAAAAAAATTGTGCGATAGTGAGAGTGATTTTTTGAGATTTAAATCTTGTGTGAGTGGCCACAGGGCATATTTTAGATCAAATCACTGTGATCCAACAGTTCCACTAATACACCACGCAATGCTAAACGAGAAATTACCATTTTGATTGCTTTCTGAATGTTATGTGATTGGTGCAACAGAGTAAGTATATTATTGTAAATAAAATTTACATCTTAAAATTGATTTATAAATTTTAAAAAAAGTCATAATTTATAAGTTATCGATAAACGAGGAATGGGTTTCCGTTTTGAAATACAAATAACACGGTCAATTATATCAAGAAAGAAAATTTACAAAAATATGAGCTTAGAAATCTGTTTGGATATGAATCCAGGCTGAACATTTAAAAATGACAGCGGCCGGTGGTGCGCACAATAGGACGCTGTACAAGTGAAGGGTGGGATATTGCTTTCTTTTTGTCAGATGTTTACTTACTGAACGAGTATGTTTGGTACATTCAAATGGAAAATTTTTAATTAAAGACCTCAGTCCTTTTCCAAACAATGGAGTATATTAGTTACGAGCTTAAATTGGTCTACATCCCCTCCAGCAGCTGTCAAATGAACCAGTTCATGGCTGTATAAACTGCCATTTCGCGGCTTGCGAAAACTACACCTTTGCCTTGCGATCGTAAAGGCGTGCGATAAATTTGGAATTGCTCTTGCAGCGAAGTCGTACACGTTTGAAAACAGTTGGAAGGCAGAAATACGAAGGCCTAGAGTTTCATCTGAACGACTTTTGAGGGAAGCGTGTATGAGACAAATATTAAGAAAAAAAAAAAGAAAGAAAGAACAGAAAGCCCGATATACCGGAAGATCTAAGTAAACACCAGACGACATGGCTCAGAACCTTGAAGATAGAAACACAGCGACTGTGGTTTCAGAGACTGCCATATTGTCGCTGGTGATGATTCTCTCACTTGTTGGAAATCTTTTGGTCTCCTTTGCTGTGTACAGAAACCCGAGGCTACGCTGTCCAAGTAACTACTACATCATCTCCTTGGCTGTGAGCGATATTCTACAAGCTCTGTGCACAATGCCACTATCTGTTGCCTTCTTAGCCACGGGC